CCCCCCACCCCGCCCCCCAGTGGACATCATGAAGCTCATGGTGCCCAAGGCCTGGGCCGGCCTGCCCTACTTTGACAAGCTCAAGGGCCTGCAGGGCGTCCCAGTCATCAACATCCACATCTGGTTTGACCGCAAGCTGACCACAGTTGACCACCTGCTGTTCAGCCGCAGCCCGCTGCTCAGCGTGTACGCCGACATGTCCACCACCTGCCGAGAGTACGCCGACCCCAGTGAGTGGCACAAAGGCAGTGCGTGTGTGCGCCTGCGAACTTCCCAAAGCGCGCTAGGCAAACACGGACATGAGGCGGCAGAGCACTTGAGTCGCTTATTGGCAGCAGGGCGTGTGCGTGGGCGGGGGCGAACGGGCGTCGGGGGTTTGATCGGCAGGTGCACCCGTTGCTTGGCGCACCCTGCCCACGTGAGGCGCCGTCCTGGCTGCCTCCGCAGCTGCAAAACCCGCCCTCCTGCGCCGCTTAGCCCCCTCCCTACCGCGCACCTACCACCCGTTCCGCGCGCTCTGCCCTGCACGCGGCCAGCGCTAGTCGCCTGTGAGACCCACTCCTCCAACCCCACCCTCATTCAATACCTTCCCATGACACTCAGAATCGGCCTTGTGCCCTCCACTCCTAAAACCCTCAACCCCGAACGGCGCCCCGCCCCCTTCCCACAGACCGCAGCATGCTGGAGCTCGTGTTTGCCCCGGCCCACGAGTGGATCGGCAAGAGCGACGAGGACATCATGGAGGCCACCATGAAGGAGCTGGAGAGGCTCTTCCCCACTGAGATCGCCGCGGTGAGAATTTGGGGGGATGAGCGTGAGGGTGAGGGTGCGGTCGGGGACGGAGATGCACGCACGCAGGGATTTTTTGTTTGTGGGGGTTAATGTGTGTGGTGTGACTCGTCAGCTTCGCCTGCGTCGTGCTGCAAGCTGTATCGTGTGGAGGCGCGGGCGGCCGCCCCAAGGGCAATTACACCCGGTGTGCCGCGAGCCTGCAGCGCGCACCTTGTGGACACCCCCGCCCGCCTGTGCCCCCCGCCCTCGCCCCCAGGACGGCTCCAAGGCTGCCGTGCGCAAGTACAGCATCGTTAAGACGCCCCTCAGCGTCTACACCGCCAGCACCGGCCGCCAGGCCTACAGGTGCGCCCGCGCTCGTGCGGGCAAACCGCGCTCGCCTCGGCGCTTTGCGGCGTAGGCCACGTGGCATAGCCCTCCCCACAATGCCCCAAACCCATGCGCGCCTCGGCTTTACACCCTCGCGTCCTCAGAGTTTCCGAGAACACCAGACCACAACCCCCAAAACCCATCCCTCAACCGGCCCCCAACCGCACCCCAAACCGCACCCTCAACCGCACCCGACCGCACCCAAACC